CTGGGGATTCGAACCCGCCACCTTAGGTGTATGTGGCTGGCGCCTTAGCCGGTTGAGCTATAGGCGCCGAGCCTCCTTTTCTTTTAATGCTCGTCTCATTTTCTTTTGTTTCCCACTTTCCTTTCCTAGTATTTTCCGTTTCCTCTGTGCCTTTGTCTCCTCCACTTTACACGTTCCTTATATCTTGGTTTCTTCATTTTACATTTCTTTTTTCTACAGCTGTTCTCCTCTGTTGTTTTATTTTCCTTTCTCTCTTCATGTTCCTTTTTCTTTTGTTCTCTTTCTCCAACTCTTTTTTGGGGGAGGCTTTTATTTTCTGTCTTCCAGTCATCCGGTTCTCTAGCTTTTCTTTCTTTCTCTACAAGTTTGATTTGCATGCCTCGTGCTGATGCTATATTGACTGTTTCCTCTAAGACAGACCCTTCTGGCTGTTTTGGACCCATTATTCCATGTGGCCTGTTTTCCAGAGTTGCAGGCTCCTGCGGGATCCTGCTATTAGACTTACACCTGTGCTAGAGTTAGGCCACACTCTCATGGCGTTCAGGAATGTAAAGGGCTGTCCTGATCTGTGCTGAGAGGTCCATTAGTGCCAGAGGTTTTTGGAGTTGGGAAATAATTACGGTGAGTTCGTCTCGAAGAACTGACTTTGGAAACATCTTGAAAGAAAGGATCAGCTAAGAGACAGTCACATGGAGTAGTAGGAACACTTTTCTTGAACATTGAGTTGTGTTTCCAAAGTGGAGAGAGGATGTTTGGTTATGGACTTACTGTAATTCTTCCAAATATTTGCCCCACTCAACCAACATGAAGTTCCTAAATGGAAAGTGAGAGAACAAAGTCAAACAAAGGCATATTATAACTAGTTTGGGCTTTAGCTCCAAACCTCAGTGTCCAATATTAGTGAGGTAAGTTGGCTTACCATGGTAATCTCAGTAGTAAAAATTGGCTTGCAGCTGAACATTTAACATTAAAAATTAAGGAAATTATGATAACTCAGTGGACTACTATGTGGTTCCTCATGAAAATTATGAAATAATAGGGAAGTCATTCATTCAACAAATATTTCGTGTGCACCCAGTATATGTCAGGTACTATTCTGTGGGCTCAGAGTTCTGGGGAGGCAGACAAGGTTCATATGATAAAAGTAAATAAAAACTGAGAAAGGGTAACGAGGACCCTGGGGCACCTAGGAGATTGGGATTATGGGTGTTCTTGTGTCTTTACTCTTTTTTTCATGACTTTATGAAATATGTACTTTTGTAATTTTTTTTAAAGGAAGTCAAAATACAAGTTTTAGGATCTGAATAATTTTCATCATCATGGTACATATAGAGTACTATTACTTCACGAGTTTTATGGGTTCCGATGTGTATGCTGTATCTTATTAAAACTAGGAAAGAGAAATAATAGGTCCCTATAGTAAAATGTAATATAGTAGTTGCATTGTTAGGAAACAGTATCTTGTATGAAATAATCCAGATTTCTTTCTTTTGAAACAGAGTCTGACTATGTCACCCTTGGTAGAATGCTGTGGCTTCACAGCTCAGCCTCTCAAGTCGCAGACTACAGTTGCCCGCCACAACACCTGGCTGTATTTTTGTTGGAGTTGTCATCGTTGGTTTTAGCTGGTCTAGGCTGGGCTCGAACCCGCCAGCTTCAGTGTATATAGCTGGCTCCGCCGTAACCACTGGGTTACAGGTTCTGAGCCTGGATTTCTTTTTTTTTTTTTTGAAAATTTCTTAGCCCAGCAATCTGTCATTGTTTGTTTTATATCTCATTCAGAGAAAAAGATATCTAGGTTTCTTATAAGAAAGGCCTGGGTTCTTATAAGAGCAGATGATTCCATTCTAGATGAAGTGACTTGGAAAAGCTTATTGTATTAGAAATACATATAAATTCTAATATTCTATTAAAAATAATAGAATTTTTAAATATAGAAATTCTAGGCTTGGCTCCTGTGGCTCAAGTAGCTAAGGCGCCAGCCACATACACCTGAGCTGGCGGGTTCAAATCCAGCCTGGGCTTGCCAAACAACAATGAGGCTGCAACCAAAAAATAGCTGGGCGTTGTGGCAGATGCCTGTAGTCCCAGCTACTTGGGAGGCGGGGGCAGGAGATTCGCTTAAGCCCAGGAGTTGGAGGTTGCTGTGAGCTGTGATGCCATAGTACTCTACCCAGGGGGACAGCTTGAGGCTCTGTCTCAAAAAAAAAAGAAAAGAAATTCTAGTATATGTTAGTGTTTGTTGCTTTATACTGTTCGAATAATTTTTATGGGATAATTATAATTCATTACTGTATCATATTTTGTTTTAATGATATATAATGCGTGTATATATACATATATATGTACACAAACTAGTTGTATAAATCTTAGGACAGCATAAAATACGAAAAATAAAACATTTTTCATCTCCTTCTTCTCCCTCTACCTTCCCCCAACAAACTTAATCTCCGAAGATTGAAGCACGGTCATCGCTGTAATTCTCCACAGGGTTTTCACTGTGTCTGCAAATACTGCAAAAACATATACAAATCTTTTTTCTTTTTAACCCAATAATCATACCATACTTACTATCAAAGTAGATCATCTACTTTAAGGTAGCCTGTCAAATTGTTTTGTGTTACTGTTTCCTCGTGTGGACTAATATGGTGTGTGTGTGTGTTTTTTTTTTTCTTTCCCTCTTCAGAAACCACAGATAAGGGAGAGCCTCCTCCAACATTGTCCTCCTCCCCTTCGGCCTCCTCCCCTTCACCCACGCTGGGCAGACAAAGGCCTGAAATCGGAACGTTTCTTAGAAAGAAGAAGAAAACTAGTGATATCTACTTCGTGTCCCTCGTTTGGGCCATCGTCAGCGTCCAGATCTGGTTGAACCTGTGGATCGTGCAGTTGTTACCAGTGCCTATTGCAGGTCACTTCCTGGTTAATTACCATCTTGCCTTGTTTTTGAAGACTTTCCTTTCTTGTTTTACTGTCATATTTTAATATATGAGAGAGTTCCATATTTGTAGATAAGGCGAGGTTTTATTTGCATTTAAATAATAAATATAACTTTGAGAATTTATTACTTTACTACTTCACTTTTTCTTTTTTTAGATTCACTCTGTCGTCCTGGGTAGGGTGCAGTGGTATTATGGTAGCTCACAGCAACCTCAAACTCCTGGGCTCAAGCAGTCCTCCCGCCTCAGCCTCCAGAGTAACTGGGACTACAGGTGCCTACCACCATGCCCAGCTAGTTTTTTCTATTTTTAGTGGAGATGGGATCTTCTTGCTTTTGCTCAGGCGGATCTTGACCTTCTGAGCTCAAGTGATCCTACTGCCTTAGCCTCCCAGAGTACTAGGATTACAAGTGTGAGCCACTGCACCTGGGTGATATTTTACTTTTAAAGTCAAAAATGTATTTAGCCTCTTATGCATTATGTAGTATTTGAGATTTATAGCTCCACATACAGTTTGACTGTTCGATTGTCCATGGTTCTGTGAAGGAGAATATTAACAGCTATCTGGGTTTTGGGGTTCATGATTGCATTTTGAGAGCTGCTTTTAGGGAA